GAAGTTTTTTAGACGCATTGCTCGAAAGGAGGGTCACAACCTCGAGCAGCTGATGGTGACGGGCAAGATAGAGGGCAAACGACCCAGAGGATGCAGTCCCACGAGATGGTCGGAACAAAGTCGGTCTTGTCTGGACATGAAGCTCCACGATGCCTCCACGAGGCCAAGGATCGCAGCAGATGGAGTACAGTGGTGCAAGAGAGATAGATGCAGCGGGGGAGTCACGACTTTCAGCAATGAGGAGCACGACATAAGAAAGATGTTCATTTTAGCAAATTAAAAATTTTCGTTAAGGCGAGTGTTTATTATCCTTTCATGCTCGAGAACTGCCGCGTAGCACCGTCCCTTGTAGCTTACAAAATTGCCAGACATTTTTAAATGCAGACATAACTGTCGATAATATTCGTTAAAATTTTTAATCAGAATGAAAAGTTTTATAAAAAGATTCTAAAGTTTTTTTATTTTCACTAGATCGCTAGATTTCTACAGATGAATTTTCAGAAAATCATTATTACATACATTTATTTATATAGATTATAAAAGCTTATGAATTAAATTTTATTTTCGTTGCACTTACGAATTATTTTAATCAAAAATGTAATTTGAAACAAAACCTGTTCCTAAAAAGACAAAAGTTTTATTTTTATTCAATAAAATAATATGGTGCCCAGCCTCTTTACACCGAATAAAATCTACAGAGATGTCATAAAGGGACAAGTGAGGTATACTTTATAGGGATATACATATATGTGTATATGTGTCCCTATAAAATAACTGATTCAACATATAGCATTCAAGAAAACAAGAAAGATATTTTCGATGACAATACAATAAACGACAATACGACAAACTATCGTCAAATTCTCATTTATGTGGATACTAAGCATTCTAACATGACGATCATCTACTGTTATAAATAAAATAATTATCTGAATTTCTAAAACTAATACTCATTTTAATGTTTTTTGAAGAAAGCTTTGCAATCTGTCAGTTTTCATAAAAAAATGTATTATTATCAAAAAAGTGTCAGTTTTCATAAAACTGAAAAAGCAGAGGTCACACCATTGATATGTTAAAAACTTTCAAGGGACGTAGATTATTATGAATATGTCATGAAATTGCTTTTTGTTAACAGTTTACATGTTCAATTTATGAATTTTAATAAATTCACTTGACCACAATATGGTAAAAGTCGTTTCAAATTTTTTTTAACACTCAATGTATGTTCATTTACTTTTACAAACAAAAAATACTGTCCGTAGTTTTTGTAGAAATAAATGTACACAAATTTGACATATCATTGTATTATTTTTACAACCATTTACTAAAAAAGCTTACTAAATACCTATAAATGAACTAACATTTAAAACATCAATCTACATATTAATACGTAATAGATATACATAATATGTTGGTTAAAGATACTTTAGATTTAAACATCTATTTACATAAGCCCAGGAATGAGTATCGTACTAAAATATTAATATAATGTAGTATTTTAATATTTAAAAGTCATGGGAATGTCCTAAAATTTCAATATTACATGCACATACGATATAAATTTACTTGATAATATATTTAAGGTCTAAAATCAGGTATCATGATTTAACAATTTTGCTTTGACAATAAAGATACGCAAATACATGTAAAGATATAAAATGTTCAACAAGTTATCCAGCTTATTGTACCTTGAAGTTTATTTTTCTAGTTTTCATTTAATTTAATGTTCCGGAGTTGAAATAAAGATACCGAGAAATCCTAATCAGTTAAAACATTCCAGAGAAAAACCGACTATTCTGAAAGCTTTTACTCTTTTCAAACTCTTTTGTTTGCTAACTAGTGAAATTATGGCATTTCCGGCTGTCATAGAAAATACTCGTACTATTTTTAAATATCAAAGTTTAGATATATACATTCAATTTAATCTTTACATGTACATAATATAGTCAAAGAGCTTGTTTTCTTTTTATCCTATCCTATAACACCAAACAAGGCAACTTAACAGCAGCTTTTTACACGACGCTATATTAAAACAAAGTAATGTAGTACTAACACACAAAAGCATAATTTTACAATTTATACTACGATTTTACATTTTTAAATGTATAATGATAACATACACATACATACATATATTTTCAACTTTACATTTATTACAATATTTTTTATACATACAAATACTTAAATGACTAAATGCAATATAGCCTTTAAGTTACATATATTTTTCTCTATTAGTTTAAATTGTTACTTTGATTATAGCAATATTATGTTATCTTTTTCAAAGTTGCATCATCTTGTGACACTTTAATTCATCATATTGCTGAATATATTTTTTTGCAAAACAATGCTGTAAATACCTACGAGTATTATGTTTAATCTAAGTAGATTAGATATTACAATATATATGAAAATTAATACATACATAATTTTGTTTTTTACGCTTTAATAGTTTCTTAATTGGAAAATATGTTGTCGATGATTTTAATGGTAAAACTTGATTTTAGGCAACGACAATTTTTAGATTAGCAGAATTTTCTAATGTTTTTTTTTTACTTTCATGAAATATAGCTTTTCAAATAATTAATTTCCGTTTGTAGGTATGTAATGTACATATCATTTTTTCATCAATTCATTGCATGAAAATTATTTTAGTCATTAGAGACATAGAAAAGTATTTACCTGTTACATTTTTTTAACAAAGAAAAACAATTTAAAAGCTTGGTAAAAAGCTTTCGACGATACAAAAATATCCGAATTCAGAATCCACATTTTACTATCACAATCATCCTTTTGAAGGAGGTTCACGTGTCTTGTCTTCAGTCTTGCAAGCTTCGACATTTTACTTCGTGAGTTAAGGAAATATTGCTTACATATTACACTAACAATATAATATATTTTGCGAAACATCTAAAAAGTACCTAATATGAAAAATGGGTTATGATATGTTAAAGGGTACTAATGAATTAGCTTTAAGCGCTGTAATCATTTTAGACAAAACTCTGTTCAAAATTACATGACTAATAAAAATCAGTAGCGGCTATATCCTGACTCTATTGTTCCTCAGATATAGTATTGATATAATGTTTTTTATTTTATTTTATATTTCAGTTAAATAACTCAAAATGTGTATGTAATCTGCTTAAAATGTAATCTTATCAAGTGAAATACTAAAAAAAGTGGATGGATGAATTTTGAATGTAAATCCAGACAATCTTCGAGGTTGTTCATAGCTCAGCTGTTGATGGAACATTATCAAAAGCGTCAGATTAAAAATAGTGACATGATTAAAATTAATAATCATAGTCGCAGCTGGGTCTTCAACATGAAAAAGGATTACAATGACTAAACGCGAGCTGTGAAAGAAAACGATAATTTTATATGTTTTATTTTCGTTGAATCCAGAGATTTCTAAAAGTTCTTTATGAATATGGATGCATATAGTCACGACTCAATATCCACTGTAAATTCCATAACTTGACATCTACATTCTAAGAAATATATAGAAATATAATATTTATATAACGTGCCTTTATCGTATTAAACACAAAATAACTATATCTCTGAGACAAATAATCATGATATAGTATCACAGATCAAAATTCATTACAGCAGTGTCAATCTATAGCAAATAAATGCAATTGAGAACACAAAAAATTGCTATCTAGAATCAGAAATGAGCACGCAATGGAGTGACTAACAATGTTAATACATTTCAAACTGTCAAGCGTGAGCACTCATAAGCATATCGAACATTACGAAGGAGGGAACCCTTCTTGAACGAAGTAAAATTGTAACTGAAATTACTGATGGGATAACATACACAAAGTAATTTATACAATGCGAGCTATGTAACACCAAACGACGCGTGGGGTCAACGGACGCTTACCATCACTTTGAGTTGGGTTTCGCAAATTATGGACCTGCTAAAGCTTGCATTAAGAATAATAAAGGACTTCTGTTTTCCACTGGTGGTAGGACCTCTTGTGAGTCCACGCGGGTAGGTACCACCACCCTGCCTATTTCTGCCGTGAAGCAGTAATGCGTTTCGGCTTGGAGTGGGGCAGCCGTTGTAACTATACTTGAGACCTTCGAACTTATATCTCAAGGTGGGTGGCGCGTTTGCGTCGTAGATGTCTATGGGCTCCAGTAACCACTTAATACCAGGTAGGCTCGTCTACCCATCTTAGCAATAAATAAATAAATAAACTTAAATCAAGGCGACTTTTGGGAAAGTTGAAGAGCCTCTCGCATGAAAGGCCCCCTGATACTACTAGGCAATAAGTGTATCCTATAACCTGTTGCTCATGAATGCTTTAACACGATTCACAACTCAAACTGTAAAATTTTTGTTTTGTGCGACTACAATATTCAGTCAAATAATATTCTAAAAATCGAAATCTAATAATATTCTTATATTATCTTTTATAATATTATCTATTATAACATATACAATAACATTATTGTATGATCAAACTTACAATTACATTTGTGCTTCGAAGCGGCTTATAAGACCAGCCCGATGGGCGGTTTTCTTAACATGAAAGAAACTCATAGTTTTTTTTTAAGAAAACCTTAATTGTTACAATTATTTGTAATCACTATGCTTTTCATATAAAACATTTTTACTAAAAAATTCTTAAAATTTAACATATTTTTTTTGTTTTCTTCGATCCGTCTCTACCAAACGAAATGAATGGAAATGTTTAAAATAACTATGACTCCTAAGTTCTTTCTCCGTAATCAAAGCTCTAAATTGGCTAAAGACAATTTTATTCAATTCTACAAAACACGGAATTTGTTCAAAAACCTTTAACATAGAATAGGTACTATGTATTTAGTGTATTTTTCTTATTAGTTTTAAATCGTATTATGTATTTGTACTATAATATTTAAAACTATGCATTTTTAATATAAATATTGTACGTAATGTATTTTTTGTCCTTTATTTTTTTTTTGTAAATTTATCGTTTAACTTTAAAGATTTTTAATGGTTTTTAAGAATTTAGACCAAATAGGCAGGATTTTTAAATAAATTATGTAGATTTTTATTTTTCGAATCACAGAGAAATTATGTTCACAGATAAATTTTTAATTTACAAAAATGTATCAGAGTATAAGGTAGGTACTATGTTTCACCCTAATTCAATAATCTTATAGGTAACATGTTAAACAAGCAGCTACTGAGATCCCTATATAATATATAATATAATATATTTTTTTGTGCTTAGTGTGCGTTCGCATCTCGTCTAAACATCAAAATCGCGGTGAAAAAATAAGAAAATAGTCGACAACAACAACATCCCAAACGACTTACGTATCAAAAGTTTACAAGTTAAAAAACTACATACATCCCCTATTAACTATGTAAAATTTTAAAATTTTATCGATCCATATCAAAAATGTGTATATAGGAAAGAGATTTTACAAAAATATACAAATTTTTGACGTTGACCGCTACATGTATTAGTGTAACACACACGCACACAAACACAACAACAGAAGAGCCGTTTATTGTATTTTATAGTTTTACGATATGCTGTCTTTACTCTTCACTTAGCTATTCGACACTGGTCTCTAGCTAAGGCTTGATTGTCAACCAGAATCTATTTCTTTGCAGAGTTTACACGCCCGTGTGACTGAATATAAAAGACACGGCGTTTTTGTCGACCGGTGGGGACCGCCGGGTGATCGACGGGTTATTGTTGTTGTAATGCCAAGACTTCCTGGTGGAAGTGCTCGAGGACTGCAGAGCAATAGTTTCATAGTAGCGGAGTCGGCCGCAGCATTTCCTGCTCTTGATGATGGCTACAAATCCCTTTCTGTACTTCTTGTTGAAAAACGCGTACAGGATCGGGTTGATGCAAGAGTTCGAGGCTCCAAGCCATTGAGCCAATGGTGTCACGATCGGAAGCATCTCTTCCTCCCATTTCTTGATCGGTCCTCCCAGTTTTATCCTTGCAAAGATCAGGTACAATGGAAACCAGGAAAGAACAAACAGGATCACAACAGCAACCAGCATTTTGACGACTTTGACCTTGGATTTTTGCTGCATACGCTCCATCTGGGCATCTTGGGTATCGGTGGGGATAGACCGTCTCCAGACCTTGATCCAAATTAGAATGTAGCACATCGTAATCATGACCATTGGGAGAATGTAGCAAAAAATAAGATTTCCAACCACGAAGTAAAGGACTTCGCTCAAGGGATTTGGCCAAACGTCGATGCAGAGATGTACATTAGGGTTTTCTTCGAATACCACGACAAGATCAAAGAAAAAGACCCAGGGGGTGGTGACGAGAATAGCAAAGATCCAAATGAAGACGATCATCATCCTGGAGCGGCGCTTCGTGATTTGACATTTGAGCGGCCACCATATAGCCAGGAATCTGTGGAAAAAAGAAACTTTCAATTATTTCGTAAATTACAACGAAAATAAATAAAAGATGTATGGTGTCGTGGGATACCGGATAGGAACGAAGTTCCTTATTATAAACATATTAATTTTAAGTTCTATTCGAGGTATAAAGAAAATAAAACTGGACGTTGCGCAACAACCCACGGTCATTCGGTAACGTGCGAACTTATTGTGGTACACTTCATTCGCGGTTGTTTGCATAAGAGTTAGTGTACGCGTTCGCGTTCGAACGCTCTGAGATCGTGGTCAATGAATGATAAAAAAATATGTTTATTTTTTGTACGTTATTACAAAGCTAAGTCGTACACTGTGTGCATTACTAATAAAAATCTTACGTTACGGACGTTTTTTCCCGGTTAGGGTACCCCTCCGCATCGTCCCATAAGGAACTTGGTTCCAAAATTTAGTAAGACACTGTGAATGCTAGTCTAAAAAACGAAAGATATATAGTAATTAGCCTTTAGTTATGCGGCATAATAATATGTTTGTATTAACAAAGCCTTTAGTTTTATTTCTTTATTTAAACAAACCAACAGGGGTAAATTTAAAAATCAAAATTCATTGGTCAGGGATAGCTGAAAATCAAAACATGGTTGTGAAGTTAAAACTTCTTCAGCGCCGTTTTGAATCGAGAAAACATCACTAATAGATAAACAGAAATGTCTATCAGAATCAACGCTCGAACTGAGGAATTTAAAAGAAAAAAAAATTATTATTTAAAAGAAAATTAATGCAATTTTACGAACCGCTCAACAAAGTCACAAATAAGACTTGATTGATTTATTCACAATTCAACGGATGCTCGCGAAAACAAGACCGTGATTTTCCGGATTAGCCTTCCCGGCGTGAAATCGTCCGGAAGACGTTTGGATACGAAGGACGAACGAATTAAACCGTCCACTGGAATAATTGGATTTGGAGGTAATAAAAAATCGAGACTGTGGAATTGAGCAGCTAACTGATTCAACAAGGTCAATTTTCGGCTGGAGCAGATTAAGATACTAGCAAGATCCGCCTGATGCAAAGCGATTTCCAGAAGCTATATATTTCTCAACCTAAATAACTTTTTTATCGCAAGAGAGGAGTGGATGAGGTAGCAGCCAATCCAAAAGCCTACAAATTAGTTGCAACAAGAAAACTCCAGGGACTTTGAAAATACAATTAGGTTTTAATATAAACCTGTATATAATACATAATAATAGTACATATAATAATACATCGTAATAGTATATAATACATAATAAAAGTGCATTTAATTGAGAAGTTAAATGATAATGTCATAACTATATAGTGGATCAAATAAATAAAAAATGGAAGTGGTAGATCTACTACAAAGTTACATTTCAATCCAATAAAAGAAAGATCTATTTGTATTTCACAGTCCCAATTTTTCAGATTTCGCTTGTATTTAGAAGATACATTTACTTTTGTGCCATGCTTTTTTCAAATTATATATTACTCTATTCAAAACAAAAAGAATATATAACAGTAAATGGACCTAAAGGCACTGGGGACAATTGGATTTCAGCCTTAAACAAAAATAATTCCTCTCAAAGCCAAAGGCAACTTTTACGAAATGCTCATGCCTTCCCAATAGAAACAATCTTCTGACACGGAAAAATGAATATTGTATGTTTGTTCATGTAACATTAAAACGTTCTTCATCACAATAAGTTGAAAGTTTGTATGGTACACATGTTTTAGGCTGTACAGGGAACATTTCAAGTGTGATAGCACAGCGTAAAGTAGCTGTACTATAATTAGGATTGATAATTGAAAAGCGTGATCGGTTTAAACAACTTCTTTAGACTTAAACACATAAGTGCCTTAAGCTCATAGGATATTTTATATAAAATAGTTATAATATCTCGATTCCTTCATATATGTATATAAGTATATTTTTGTGCATAGTACATAGAAATTCGATTTCTAGCCTTACCACGGTAGTACCATAAAAGTTGAAGGAACAGTCGAGTTGATTCAACGCTATTCATAAGATAATTCAATTTTCAGTTTAATTCTTGTCTATTAACTTTCTATTTTTGTGTATCTGAAGTAAAGCTGTTGTATTCTTTGTACGAGGAGCACTGCTGCTTGAGATATAGATTTTATCACCTAGTTCAAGCACAGATGCAAATTATGATTGTTTTTCTACTTCTATGTTAATAATAAATAAATAATTTCCCGCGCTAAGCGAGATTTATAACGACACGTCTTTGACCAGTGATTTATTGAACAGTTCTTTATTCAGGCCCAAATAAAGAGATACGTGGTATTGACCTAAGGCTTACGATAACCACTAGGAAGAATATCTCGGTATGCGTGCTTCTTGCGATGCAAGTATCAGCATCAGCAATCAATACAATAGAACTATTTTTTTTTTTATGAAATTGGATATCATACAAACGAAGTCGCAGACAACAGCACATTCATTTGTTTATTTATTCAAAAGCCAAAACTGCTAACGAGAGACGACAATGAACTTCTCGGAAATCGTAAAACAAGCCCGGGAGTTCGTCAACAGGATACAGAAGTATATAGGAATCTGCGGATATGAGCGTGGGTTCGAACGAATAGGAAAACAGTTATAAATGTATACGAAGGTGATGCAAGATTATTTAGCCCACTATATCAATAGCTCCTAATACCATTTTGGAGACCTTTCTGGGTCCTTTATTTTATTCTTTATTTCAATTTAAGTCGACCTAAAATAGTACACTTCCCCTTTTACTTTGGGTGTCCAAACAGGTGAGTAAGAGATTCAGCAGAGATTTCTGCTGCCACACCTTGGTCGCCAACCGGTGTTGCCCAGCAGTAGGGCGTAGTGTGAGCCCGCATGAGTACAGAATACCGCAGTCAGATAGTCCTTAAACAATACAAAGGAAACATCGAACCCATATCTCACAGTATGCGGTGACATTTATGCTGATATTTATGCTCATTTAGGCAATAAATATTTTTTGTCGTCGTCGTGGCCTAAAGGATAAGACGTCCGGTGCATTCGTGTTGAGCGATGCACCGGCGTTCGAATCTCAGGCAGGTACCAATTTTTCTAATGAAATACGTACTAAACAAATGTTCACGATTGAGTCCCACGGTGAAGGAATAACATCGTGTAATAAAAATGAAACCCGCAAAATTATAATTTGCGTAATTACTGGTGGTAGGACCTCTTGTGAGTCCGCGCGGATAGGTACCACCACCCTGCTTATTTCTGCCGTGAAGCAGTAATGCGTTTCGGTTTGAAGGGTGGGGTAGCCATTGTAACTATACTTGAGACCTTAAAACCTAAATCTCAAGATGGGTGGTGCATTTACGTTGTCTATAGGCTCCAGTAACCACTTAATACCAGGTGGGCTGTGAGCTCGTCGACCCATCTAAGCAATAAAATAAATAAAAACAATAGCCTACTTGGTTTCAAGTGGTCAGAGTGATGAGGGTAGCTGATGGCCGCCAATTCCAACATCCTATCTAACAGATAACGAATTCAATGACGAAACTACTTTAGTTCTCTTTCAAAATTATCGATGCAACAAAATAACCTTGTTATTTCAATGTTCCATGTCGCTTTAAACAAATAGACATTTCAATAATAAAAGTAATGTTAAAGTAAGACCACATGCTGACTTTAGTAATCTTTAGGAATAATACGCTTAAAATGTATTCATGGCTCCGTATAAAAATCCATACTTGAATTTAAAATTGTTTGGTAGAATATTTGAATCTCGTAAATGTTCTTGTTTTTTTTAATAATAGAGATCAGCAGCTTTTTTCATACTTTGCTAAACTTTGTCTTCACACAATATCATTTTTGTAATATTTTATACTCTATGTTTGTATTAAATGTCTCCTTAAATACATTTCAATTTGAATCTTCTGTCATGTCCTTGTTTATATCAAACTGCTTTATTAATTAACAAAAAATAAACAAAATATTATGATTTCCATCTTAGGATTAGTAGAGCAATCAAAGGCCAATTAGTCACACAGAGACACAGTATTCTCTTCACGTATTTTATTTTCGTTTTAGTACATAAAGTAATTACATAAAGGAGCTGATAATATTGAAGTGTGTCCAGTCTGTTACGTCGCTAAAATAGCTAGTCGATCGACAGCTCAAGGCGCTTTGAATTGAGACCGGTTTTGTTTATAATTAATTAGACAACTTCTGTTTGCGAATTGTCGTACTAAATGGCTGATACCGATCATAGAGGATTTAACAATACGTTGACCTTACAATGCGATACTAAAATGTCACTAGAACGTTATTTAAATTAGATACTGTAATTCTATGTAATGCGCTCGATAAATAATTTACTGCTCTTTAAATTTTACACTGTTGTATGTTATTTGTTCTGTTAATAATTATAAAATGAGCCGTGATTAATGAATTTTGATTTTATCTGTTTTGATTAGTCTGCCTATTTCCGCCGTGAAGCAGTAATGCGTTTCGGTTCGAAGGGTGGGGTAGCCGTTGTAACTATACTGAAACCTTAGAACTTATATCTCTAGGTGGGTGGCGCGTTTACGTTGTAGATGTCTATGGGCTCCAGTAACCACTTAACACCAGGTGGTCTGTGAGCTCGTCCACCCATCAAAGCAATAAAAAAAAAAAAAAATAGTACGAAGTTTTGTAATAAAATATACCTGGATATTAAATAGATATATTCTGCGAATTATAGACACAAATGAAATTAATTAAAAAAAAATCCTCACTGGTAAACTTAAGTGTAGCTTGAATATGATAATTTTATTTTATTTTTGTTTGAATTAGAATGAGTATTAATATTATTTGCTTTAGTTTTTCAAACAGCTGTCTAGCAGTGCCTATATTATGTAGAATCAAATATACATCTATGTGTTAGCGTTTTATGTTTTTTATTGAGTTGAAACCTTTCCCCAGTGATTATTGAAAATTGCATGAAACTTCCTGCTATAATAATGTAATATATTTTAATAGATATATATGCATATAGATATAATATTTTTGATATCTATTCAACCAATTTGGATTTAGGATATATTGTGAATCCGGCGATTTATGTACCATCATCTTGCTTATTTCTGCCATGCGCATGAGTGTTCAAGAAGACCCTATACAATTTAGACATCGAATTGTTAACTCTTTGGTCAAATCTCTCGCTCAATATCGGGTGGACCGTCAGCTCGTCTGACTATTTAGATCAATTTTAATAATACCCGAAAAACTCATACAGTAAAAGCCATAAAAATAATTAAAGCTAAATTAACATGGATAAACAAATATATGTATATGACGGCGTTAACGATATTTATGTTATATAGCACGTGCCATAGGAGTGACTCACACAAGCCAGGTGCGCCGGCCGTGTCGTTCCACTCGTAAACAACAGCTGCAATAGAAGTGACTCATAAACCAGCTGCGCCGGCTAGTATAAAAAGGCGGAACGTGCCTTGAAATGGACATTCGTTGGACTGCGCTTGCCTGGTGCACTTACTATATCCTTGTTACGTTGTGTGATTCAGTGACTGTTGTACGTACTGGTTAAAGTTGGACAAGTGTTAAAGTGAATTGTTAAGATAACATATTGTTGATTAACTCAGGAATCAAAAAGTGACATCGTTTTACTTGGTGTTCAACAAGATAATGTTTACCCTAAAGCTTACATCAGAAGTGGGATCAGGACTCTACTCTCACTGGCGTGACGTGTTTGAACATGTTCGAAGTACAGCAAAAAAAAACATGATGCAGATCAGAATACTAGTAGTGGTACGCCACAAGAGCGTGAATGCAGCATACGTAAGTCATGTAATAACGTCTCTGTTACCTCGATGGAAGATCTGAGCCACGAAGAAATCGTCACATCTTACGTTCTGGCTCATGTTGCCCAGTTTGACTGTCGACTTCATCACATGGCATTTACTAACGGAAATACAACACGTAACAAGCTATTGCAAGAAATTAAGGCAAGTGCAAATCTCAAGTGAAACTTCGATCGCAATAATGGATCTGTCATGACGAGTGGGTAGTTCCGACACGAATCGTTTTTAAGCCAATGACTACTGCTAGAGTTACATGGCACTAGTACAGTAAACCAGGACATGAGACTGTGAATTGTCGCTGAAATTTTAGAATCTACTCGATTCAATACCAATAACACTACACGTTCGATGACTTCGGGCTCCAGCAAGCAAGCAAACAAGAAAGCAAGCAAGTTTCCGTGGGGAAGAAAAATTGACACATCTGAAGTCGTCGTGACCTGTAAGATAAGACGTCCGGTGCGTTCGTGTCTGGCGATGCGGCGGTGTTCGGGTTCCGCTGGCGGATGCAGGTTTTTCCGGTGAAGTGCGTGCTTGTGCGTGCTTGACAAGTGTTCGCGGTTGGCTTCCTCAGTGTGGGAGTAACATCGTGTAAGAGAGGTGGAACCCGTAAAATTGTAGTTTGCGTGGTGGCTGGTAAGATTTGTTGCGGTAAGAAGTTTGCATGGTGGTAAAATGTCTTGTGAGTCTGCACAGGTAGCCGGAGGTGAGACTTCCGCGGTCGCGGCCCACCCAGTCCGCGAGAACCGGGCAGATCGCCTCGACGGTACGGAGGCCGGCCGACGGGTCCGCCAAACGACGAGACCACGCCTCCAGCACGGACTGCCGATATTGGAGCCCCCGCGCTCCGGCTGCACTTGCGCTAGGGTGCGCCGCCTCGTAGGAGACTGTGAGGTATCCTTGAATAACTCTGACTGCGATCGCGCGCTGCCGGCGTCGCAGCGCGGCGACGTTCTCGTGGGTAAGGACGTGGCACCAGACGGGTGCTCCGTATAGTGCCATCGACCGCACGGGTACCATCACCCTGCCTATTTCTGCCGTGAAGCAGTGGTGTATTTCGGTTTGAAGGGTGGGGCAGCGGTTGTAACTATACTGAGACCTTAGAACTTCTATCTCAAGGTGTGTGGTGCGTTTACGCTGTGGATGTCTATGGGTTCCAGTAACCACTTAACACAAGGTGGGCTGTGAGCTCGTCCACACATTAATACGAAGAGCATAATCAAACGAAATTAGATACGAAGTTTAAAGGGCCGTTTAAAGTAGTTGAAGTATTGGATGGTGTCGATTTAATTTTGACTCTCACACATTCGCTTAAGGCTCGAGCTGCTACTTGCCTCACAAAAATACAGCCTGCAAAACCTGAACAACCTCCTCATCCGTGGGCGCCCGGCTCTCGCCTGCAAGTCGGCTGTTACGTGTGCGGTGATGCGAGCCATGTAGCTTCTGGGTGTTCCATGCGCTACAAGAAGAAAAACGACACTGCTCCAGGTGCTGTGGCAGGTCCAACCAGAGACGTCAACGTGTGTTCCAGAGCTTCAGTGTGTTACAGATAAGTGGTTTTGGCTTCCCCTTTATGTTCCATTCAGGGTCAGAATGTAGTCTTATAAAACAAAGTCATAGTAATTTATTCAATGGTAAGCGGTTTCATGAACAAGTCACTCTTTGATCTGAAAGTAACTTAGACCAATCATGATGGCAAGAGCACTTAGGGGATATTCAACTCGCCCTTAATAGTGCACGTTGTCGAGTAACAGGGTTTACTCCAATAGAATAGACGTTTGCCGTTCAGGGTAGTTCACTTGAAATATCTAAAGTTTCAACAGAGTGATAATCCCTCTAGATTAGATCTTGATTTAGCACGGTCGAAGACCGGCGAAAACATAAAAAAAGGGCACAAACAGAAGCTTGGTTTAGTCGAGGCAAAGCTAAAGTCAAACTCTTTTCCGCTGGGGATTTTGTTTTCGTAAGTTGACCGAAAATGTAAAGGTCCCTTCAACATTACTGCAGTTTTGGAAAACGATAGGTATAAATTGAGACATGTAAATAGTTCTAATAGAGTGTACAAATTTCCCCATGAAAACTTACGTGAAATACCTCGAGGCCCGTCAGGCCTACTAGAAATTTCTGAAAATTATAGTGACGATGACGTGACGGCGTACACAGATGGGTTAATTAATCTTGTTCATGAAACTGATCTTAATGATGACGACTCTATCACTGACAATAGAAGCGACATTTTTGTCCGCAAATAGCGATACAGCAAACATAGTCTGTGGGTAGTGATACAATGTCTGTAAGCTCAGGCACCTCAGGTGCAGGTGTTGGAAATGTAGAAAACGATGGTCGGTCTCGCACTATTTCTGAAGAAATTCCGTATAAATGTTCTGGTTTAAGAAATGTTTTAACAAACGCTACCGTACACGCAGATTAAAAAAAAAAAAAAAAAAAAAAAGAGAATTGTATGTGGCTAGAGAGATGTTAATCCGGACTAGCAAAAAAAAAAGAGGAAAAAAAAAAAAAAGTGTGAAGTCATTGAAGGGTCTGTCCGGTCCAATGGCTTGGCTATAGGGATTTTCATCCAGATTAGCCACAACAATTAGCTACAGGGATTGCGATTCGGTCTAGCATTATCCGGTCCAGTTCGAAAAACTGAAGGGATAACAATTCCGGTCTAAGTTAAAAGGGACATACTTACATACCTGAAGAGTTTTAAATGAACTGGCCCAGGTATGTAAGCAGTCTGAAGGTTATTTATAGCCAGTATAGGATTTTCTGAAGAATTATGCGAACCGAACCGTACTAGATTGTTAATATCATAGACCACGTTTTAAGTTGCATCCGTTAATGTCAGGATGAACGAACACGTTTGTTGTTCACAGACATACCATAAGAATGCGTGCACGAGGACGAGCGCACGTCAGTATGGCCGTGACGGCGTTAACGATATTTATGTTATATAGCACGTGCCATAGGAGTGACTCACACAAGCCAGGTGCGCCGGCCGTGTCGTTCCACTCGTAAACAACAGCTGCAATAGAAGTGACTCATAAACCAGCTGCGCCGGCTAGTATAAAAAGGCGGAACGTGCCTTGAAATGGACATTCGTTGGACTGCGCTTGCCTGGTGCACTTACTATATCCTTGTTACGTTGTGTGATTCAGTGACTGTTGTACGTACTGGTTAAAGTTGGACAAGTGTTAAAGTGAATTGTTAAGATAACATATTGTTGATTAACTCAGGAATCAAAAAGTGACATCGTTTTACTTGGTGTTCAACAAGATAATGTTTACCCTAAAGCTTACATATATTTAATTTCTTCAAAGTAAACGCTGACATCAAAGATCGGACGCCTTTTACGTAATCGTAAACAGTAAATTTGTATGTAGATCGATCGTAAATCAGTCGACGTCTTGGCGACGAGAAAGCTTGTGAGCATTTTCTTTATAGCATTCAAAAGGCTGAATTTCTTCGTTAGAGGTCGGACTAAATTAATTTCATTGCAAAACCAATACTTTCGGTTTGATATTAGTACGCGGCTCACCTGGTATTAAGTGGTTACTGGAGCCCATAGACATCTCAACGTTTGAGATTGAAGAATGTTTGAGATGATACCACCATCTCGTTTTTACCATCGTATAGCTTGCCACCGGAGTAGAGCTCATCCATACTACCTGGAGCCACTGCGTTCATCCACAGTGCGTTTCCAGAGATTTTTTTTGCCACGTACCATCCGGCTTTGTAATGAGATCCCCTCCACGGTGTTTCCCGAGCGCTATGTTATATCCTTCTTCTAACGAGGCTTGTGGAGAGTACTTAACGGTAGGCAGCGGCTTGGCTCTGCCCCAGGCATTGCTCAAGTCCATGGGCGACGGTAACCACTCACCATCAGGTGGGCCGTATGCTCGTCTGCCTTCACGAGCAATTAAAAAAACCGTGAATTTCACTACCCATCCTGAGACATGTTGACGATTTCTCACTTGCATTCTACGAGCATAACAGCTATCTTATTTTCAAACTGCAACGCATAATTGCTTTATGGTCGACAGACAGTAGAATAAGTGTCGGAAATTTATAGAAACTATAATATCTTACTTCCGGAAATATGAGCTGAGGCTTTGAATCACATTGTATTGAAGAATCACCTGCCTTTGGATGACGTAACAACGTTCAGATACCAGGACATTTATATTTTTAATTTATAAATTAAACTAGTTTTTTTTCTGTGGCAAAGTAATTCCATTCAACTTAATTATGGTTCTCAAGTATTGCATGCTTAAATACGAATAAATTGTTTAAACGTGGTATAATTATGATACCGTAAATTAGTATCTAGAGTTGGGATGGATGTGCTTAAATTATGTATTATTTTCAAGTATTTTTGTTTTCACTTGAACATTTCGTATGTCTGAGCTAAAATTTTCTTCTATGGTTTTTTTTCTTTTTTAATGAAGGAAGGATTACTGGTGGATAGTTTTTCTGTCTAGTATGACACGTAAGTGCCCGATGGTATTAATCAAGTCCGCGAAGAGCAAGATATTGGTAATGAAAGTATAATAATATGTACATAACGATAATTTTAATTTGCGACGAAAACAACAGAAAGTACTAACGAGCCGATATAATTATTTGGATTTTTTTATCATTGCAATATCTTTAGTGATTTAATATCTCAAAAACATCAAAATTGAACCAGTCGCTACGGAAGAATCATTATTACGCACATCACTATGATTGATGTATTAATTATGTTGATTTAATAAATAACCAGTTATCAATGCAGACATGATAAACTACATTCTGTCATTTTGTACCTGTCAATTTGCCGACACTTTCATATATCATAATTGGCATTGACACGATTTTACTAAAAAAATCGATTTTGTTATGAGCTTTTTTAAATGTGCTTTAACATAGAGCTACAAGTGAACTTACAGCTCACCAGATTTTAAGCGATAAAAGCGCATAGAAACTACAATAAAACTGCAATATTATTATTATTATTATTTATCTGTTCTTCTAGTTGACAATACCCCTACTGTCACTACTTAAAGGAGTAGTTTGAGAGGGAAGAAGATAAGACGAGGTGACATCAACTTTGGACGAATATGGTGCATTAGAAGCTTGAGAAAACCAGTATATTGTTTTAAGCCATAGTCACAACCCCCTGAGATTTGATCCGGTGGTAGATTCAGTGAAGCATTGTTCATGCTAGGGTTTGGTATGAGCAATTTCTCTCAGGTTGAGCCTTATGAGTTCGCCTACCATGTTATTGATAAACAAATAGGTTGGACGGTGGTGCCAACCCAGGCCACCTAAAGATTGGATTCAGAGGAGAATCACGACACCTTCAGTTAAAAAATAAATATGATTCCGAATAGCTATCACTCGATGCGTGCAGCGAGAATAGGTCCCGTATTTGCAATAGCTGATGAAATTTATCTTCTAAGAGAGATAGTACAAATTAGTCCGCATAGAACTTTGCGCCACACGCACTATTGTGTCCCAAGAAGCCCGCACCTCGTATTTTAAATAAGGTTCTAAAGTTTTATGGAATATCAAAATGTCTTGTAAATCATCAGCGTATTGTATGTACTATCATTATGAGCATCTAACAAAATATGAAAAGTAGCAAAGAGCAAGTTGCATTACAAAATCTTAAGAAATTTCTTGTGCAATTTATCAGCGTGATCAAGATTTTGAGATTAAAAGGAGAGGTCGCGCTCTCTTTTGTATGATGCAATTTAAAAAAAACTTATATCTGTTATAATCTTAAACTTTGTTGGCATCAAAAGCTCAGGAGCTTGTTGGATGCAAGTCGCTTAATTTTAAGCTGTTCCTTTAGTATTGTAGTAAGATACTAAGTACATACAGGGCGCATTAGTCTTCAATTCCTAAGCGCGTATCAATTTTTACAATTAAATACGTACTTAACAAATGTTCACGATTGACTTTCACGTTGAAGGAATAATACCGGGTAATATTATTATTATTATTATTTTATTGCTTAGATGGGTGGACGAGCTCACAGCCCACCTGATGTTAAGTGGTTACTGGAACTCATAGACATCTACAACGTAAATGCCCCACCCACCTTGAGATATAAGTTCTAAGGTCTCAAGTATAGTTACAACGGCTGCCTCACCCTTCAAACCGAAACGCATTACTGCTTCACGGCAGAAACAGGCGGGGTGGTGGTACCTACCCGTGCGGACTCCCAAGAGGTCCCACCACCAGTAAAAATCACACCCGCAAAAATTGTAATATGCGTAATTACTAAACAGTTGTGACATATGCCCCAATCTCAAAGCGATATCTATGAGCTTCGGTAACCACTTAACACCGGGTTGGCCGTGAAGTATAAAACAAAAAATAGGTGAGCCTACACCAAGTTTAGATACCACCATTTTGCTTATTTCTGCGGGGAAGCAGTAATATATTATGGAGCAGCCATTGTACCAGATAACTGAGATTTAGAACTCATATCTCAAGGTGCATGTGATCATTTACGAGTTTCTAACAAATCTTAGAGTTAGCCTGTAGAATATCTTAAGCCTCAAATCCATAGTCCATGAGTACGTCGTCCAAAACCCGCCTACAGCTAATAACGAAACATAATTTGACATGTGACTAAAATGTCAATAATACAATACGTATGTAGTGACATAATGAATGTAATACATGAAACCTTTGATTCCGGAAACACACCGGAAGTTTTACTTATTAAAACATTTTATTATTATGTAACAAGGAAATGAAATCTAAACAGGAACGGAAGGAAATTGTATATTCTGATGTACAAATATTTAATTTTGTAACCTCAAGCGACGTATAAATTTCACGCTACAATAATGTAAGTAATGTTCAAGAGTTTCCCCATACCTACATTAATAGCTAGCTTAATAAGCTAATAATAGTGTGAGTGACTAGAATTGATTTTGAAACTAATAAGCAAACATTTAACATTCTACGCCTTTTTGACGTGACAACGTCTTATAATTCGATAGAGCCGGCTGCACGCACGAAAAAACATGACTCATGCGACGTTACCTCGCTCTAAGGCGTTCCATTTAAGGCTTGAAGTGCAAGCGAGAGCGCGCAACGAGCGATAAAGAGTCACAATCGGCCTCCGCGTTCGGCAGCGTTCGACATCTGTCTCTCTTCTACTTGAGTGAGCGATGCATCCGCGTGGACAGCTGCTATACAATAATACATTTACATGTTTTCGTCAAGTATGAAGTTCAGTGAAAAGTAAATGTGGTGTCAATTGTCCATACAAAATATCTATCAAACAAATAAAATTAAAATTTTCTTTTGAACAATGAAACCATTCATCCTCCATCCAACCATCAGTATTTCCTTATGACGTTGTCACGTTCAACTATCGTCAGTAAACCGACTTTACAGACAACCGATTTTTTTATGAAGTAACCGTGCCTCCTGTTGTGAAGTGTATTCGATATTCCGATGTTATAGAAACACTGCGTTTTACTGCCGATGTTTACGGGCTCCGGTAATGCCAGATTTGTTTCCCTTTTTGACGTCGGCACACTCAGCTTTTGGCTATAGACGATACAAGCGCTACAAGGCATACTTTATTGACTTCTGGACAAAAAAAAAATGTTTTTGAATACTATTGAAAAACCTCATTTGAGAGTCAGAATCAGTCAGAGAGTCAGAAAGAATCGTTTGAGAGTCAGAATCAGTCAGAGAGTCAGAAAGAATCGTATGCGAAATCAACGCCACAAGTCAGCGTGACATATATACAATTTTGATTATTCACTAAAACCTTTATTTTCAACCGAAAAAAAAACACCACCACCAGCCAATATTTCATATTAAATATATTCTTTAATAAATTTGAAGTTGCAATAAAAATTAAGTGCACTGCAAAAAAGTGTAAATGATAATGACTCGAGTTCGTACGTAATCTTGTGATTTATCGTTACATTCATGTCAACTTGAATAATTTACTCATTAAAATTTGCGTCAAGTTGAATTAACTATCGCCAAAAATTTGGATATTCATTATATCCATTTTTAAACAGAGCATTCAATAAAATAATTCAATTTAAATTATTTATTTCAAGAAACCCTTAAACAAATTGTACAATAAAATTAACAATTAAACAAACATTTCAAACCTGCGAAATAAACTTAAAGTTTTTGTCGTTTCTTCTATTAAACATTTTGTGTTCTTTTTCATTTCAAAGCCCATTAATTTCAAATGGATTATACTAATTACATATTATATAAAAATATAGTCTAGGACAATCAGAACTAAAGACAAATCCGTATAATAAATAAATATTCAAATATTTCTTGTAAAAATACGGATCCCTGCAGAATCACGGCTGTAATGTAACCATTTAAAAAAATTAGGGTAGAATTATATTTTTTCACTGAATAATAGATCTTATGAGATAAGTTGTTTTAAATTATTACCGAAGCCTGTGACAACTCAATGCTGTATAAATTTAGTTGCTTAACTAAAATCTTAAAAGTATTTATAATTAATTGATAAAAAAAAAGTCGAGAACTATTTCTATATCGACGTTACAGTAATGATATTTTCGAGTTAGTCTTTCCCTTGCTTGCACTAAAAATTAAAAGGACACACACAGTTTGACAAACACGTAAAGGCAATATTGTGCAAATTACAAAATTAAAATCCGAATGAACTTGACATCAACCTAAATACATAGCCGTTGTAAATGTATAATCACGTAGCGTACTTGCATATGATTGTGCGTTCATTAATCTTAACAAGTATGACGGGATGTCGATACAACGAGCCGTGTATAGTGAAAGTAGTGTGGATGTGGCATACTACGTCTCCTAAATTCAATTATATTTATGCATTTTATTTCATGTTATAGAAGTGGCATATATACCGCAATGATATGGACTACCCACCATAAGACCTTAGGGGAAATTCTAATAGCGTAGAAGAAGAGCGTATTACATATGTATGGATTTTTACTAGGAACTATTAAATAAAAATGTTTGAAATTCATTTTTTATTGTATTTTATGGACGGTTTTTAAGTTATAGTATCTTTCATTAAAAGAATAGACGGGGTTTCTTACATGAGAAGTACAGAAATAACGGCATCACGCCCCACGACTCTTGTCACTGTCCTGGAAAGAAAAAGAAAGGAAAGAGAAGTCGAGGAAGATTGCCAACCAGGTGGACGGACATGATCAAGGAGGCCACAAACACCAGCGTCCCGGGCGCCATTAAGCAGGCCGAATGCAGGCAACATTGGAGGAAGCTAGTGCAAAAACTGGACTAAGGTGGTCACGACCCTCAGTAATAAAGAAACGAAAAAGAAGAAGAAGTCCTTTGATTTAAATGTTTATCGATAATACAGACACCAGAATGATCGCTCACTTTGACTCTGATGAACTACTTCTTCGTAATATTGCATTGATGATTAACTTCCGTACAGTTTAAACTAATAAAATAAAAATAGTGTTAGGTTTGGAATACCACATCCAATTTTTTATTATTCGTTCAATTCAAGATTCAAGTACCGAGATACAAGGTATTGCGTTCCCTCATTGTCGTTTTCGGTTTCAACCTCTATAAAAGCCGAAACCGCTGACCAAAAATTTAGATAACAACTTACATTCGTCTCATAACGATCTAAATAAAGATTTTTAAATAAAATCAACAAAAATGAAATCCTTCGTAAGTTTTTTTTCAATGATAACATTTTATTTTTTATATTATTACTATTGTTTTTATGGCGAAATTAAATAGATTATGGTGCCCATGAGTGTTTTCAAGTAGGCAGCAGGCTGGCTGTGCTCTTGGCTTTGCTTATGTCCATGAGCAGCTAAGGGCACAGACATGTCATAAAGCCTTCAGCGGCCCACTTATTTGTGACATCAGACACTGCAATTACACAGCACGAGAAAAACTCCCACGCTCAAGTTCCATACATTTCGATACGGAACATTACACTCATTGTTGAATTATTCTAAATTGCCCACAGATTGTTTTCACCGCACTCCTGGCCTGCACCGCCGCTGCACCCGGCCTGCTCCTCCACGAAACCCCAGTGGTAGCTGCTGTCCATACTCCAGTTATCCACACTGTCCCCATCGTGGCCGCTAAGACCACTGTGACCAAGAGCAGCCAAGTTGTCAACCATGGTTCCACTCTGGTACATTCCGCCCCTGTGGTCCATGCCGCACCCGTGGTCCATGCCGCACACGTGGTCCATGCCGCACCCGTGGTCCACACTGTCACTGCCCCAGTTGTCCACACGGTCCCAATCGTCCACACCGCTCCTGTAGTTGTGAAGACCGCCCCCGCTGCCATCGCTCACAGTTCCTCCGTGGTGCACCACCACACTCCCATCGTCAAGACTTTGCCCCTGATCGCTGTTCATCATTGATTTTTCAAAAATAAATTATAATTGACCCCATTATTTAATTGTTTTACTTTCAATCACATCATCGTGCTGACTACGCTGATTACAAAACTTTAACCATTTTACTGATAAAAATGCGTAGGAAGGTTGTTCATTAGATGTTCTGTGATTACCTTACATACAAAAAACATCATTAAGTCGTTCACATAAAGATCAAATTTCATGTCCCTATTCGAATGAACAACACCCGTTTTCAATATAAGTGTAATAATAAAGTTTTTCGTTTGGACAAAATAAATTTTTAGATATTCTTATCTTGGTTAGGTAGATGAGTTAATGACTCATGCATCCTCTGACATCACTACGCGACCGTCACCACCTACCTCGAGACATGAAAACAAAGTGTCAATCGTTATGCTAATGGCTATTTCACCCTTAGTACTGGATCGCAGGACTGCCTAGCAAATTGGTGATACCCTTATGGAATCACAGAACTAATAAATTTTGATTTAAAAATTCAGGTTTATAACACTGTGTTATTTACTCATCGTCAAGTCTTTCTATATACGTGTTAGTTAGGTACGCGTTGTTTAGAAAAGTCCAATTCCAGTATATCATAGCTTGATACGAATCGATACGATATCGGATAACTTGCAATCTTCGCGTACAACCAGTCTATTGCACCACTCACGATCTGTGACTCTGTTACAGGAGAACAAAAGCTGTTGACATATTATGTTGGTGCCTACTCATTTTATTTGATATAAATCTTGAATGTATTAAATCAGCAAATCGGTATTGCAAAAACGAGACAAGGCTACTGTCAATTACAAGTTCTGTGATTCTATGACAACAACAACGTTTTGAAGTTAATTAGATTGGGTGTTTTGTTTTTTAGGCCACGACAAAGACGCCACAAACAACATCTCGGTTACTCTACGTTTGACAGACATAGGAGTTCATGGACACTTCAACATGAATTTCCTGCCCGCTTCGGTGATATTGAAGTCCCAATTGCTAACCAGAACGCATGATTGCTTCGCTGCAGAACTAGACACGTTGCTAAAAATTACATTATATTTAATACAATATTTTAGGACAGTTTCTGTGTTTGTTGGTTGTACAATAAACGATATATTCCACGCGAGTAGTTTCAATAAAACGGAAGTTTTTCAAACGCTTAGGGATTTACACAATGATTTAGATCTATATACCTATAGGTATATAAAAATGAATTGCTGTTCGTTAGTCTCGTTAAAACTCGAGAACGGCTGGACCGATTTGGCTAATTTTGATCTTAAATTATTTGTGGAAGTCCAGAGAAGGTTTAAAAGGTAGATAAATATGAAAATGTTCGAAATTAAATAAAAATAACAATTTTGTTTTTCCTTTGATGTGTCCCCCGTCGGACGGATTCTTTTTGTTTGTTTTAAGTTTATTTTATACAAAAGCTTAGGTCTTTTATTTATCGACTGAGGTACTACGAAGTCTGCCGGGTCAGCTAGTATTATATGAACTCCCTTCTACCCACTTATAAGATTACTATTTTCTATAGCGAGACAAACAAGAAATCCGTACACATAAATATTGTGGTCTCCAAACACCACTATTATAGCCCATTTGATTATTTCCATTTGACAAAATACGTATGTTTTCTGTCAACGTATTTTTTTTGGTATTGATCTTTATCCCGAATTATTTGTTTCTTTTGATTGACTTACAGACTGAATATATTTATAGTATAAACGGAAATTATATTAAAATATTGTGATGTGTTTATTTCTAATATATTAAGTAACCAGTATACAATAAAAAGGAGGCATAAATATGAATTGCAAAGCATATTTTAGAAAAAGGCCGATTCAATGAAACCCTTCTAATTTGCGAAAAACACAGAAAGTACTTAAAAAGCACTACTTCTCTGATTGTTAATTTTACACAAACCGCTTTTTTGTAGTTCATTGTGTGGGCTTAAAAGCAATTTTAGATCCAAATTAATTGAGTTATACAAAGTATTTATGTAATATTTAAAAAAAATATATGTTTTCAATTTCATCTCGCTCGAGGGCGTCATTTAAAATGGGGTGAAAATTTAAAATATCAAAACATAAAATCAAAGGATTTTTGTTCAGTGGCGAAGACTTTTTTTTTGTTATTGCTTAGATTCGTGGACGAGCTCACAGCCCACCTGGTGTTAAGTGGTTACTGGAGCCCATAGACATCTACAACACAAATGCGCCATACACCTTGAGATACAGTATGACTATATCTATGTTGTGACTATACTAAGATCTCAGTATAGTCACAACGGCTGCCCCACCCTTCAAGCCGAAACGCATGACTGCTTCACGGCAGAAATAGGCGGGGTGGTGGTACCTACCCGTGCGGACTCAGAAGAGGTCCTACCACCAGTAAAACTTAATTACGATTCGAAACAGACTTAATTACAGACTTATTCGAAATTTCATTAGCTACTTGTTAACAGGTAATTGTGTGGACTATGAATAAGGCACACAAGCATCCGTGTGCATTTAAAAAAAACTATAATTATTGTTTACTAGACACAAACTTGTAATTTAAGTTATGCCTATTACAGTGGGGTCACCGGATCCACGCGCATCATAGCTCTGTCAAGTTAATTAAAAAAAAAAAAACATCTGTTAGCATTGCGTCTAGCTTATATCGACCTTTGCTTCTATTGAGACCTCACACTTATTTCCTATGAGTGCACAAAACAAACGAAGTACCGAGAATGACCGTGTCCTTTCCGTCACATGTCAAAACACCCACACGACACATATCTTGTTAATAAATCCTTCAGTTATGCATTAAATGATAATAATGTACAGGTATAGACAAAAGTGGGAAAAATGGAAATGCGCAACAAATAGTGTTTAAAGTTTTATTAATAAATAATTCATTTTACTAATTGTGGTTGGGCTTTCGTGAGCTCTCTCTGATAGATACTTTAATTATGCATTATAATCATGAACATCGGAGATCTTGGTCGGATACACTTAAACATGTTAGAAAAGGAAATATCAGTGGAGACTTTCTTCACTTGAATTTCAATCTGATTTAAGTCTTGCAAATATTATGGTATAGGAGTTTCCAAATTTGATACAGTTTGATAGTTTTTTAAAACAGAATACAAACTTCACTAAAACAATATACCTATATAAAGATATTTTCGGACGAAAACTAATATATAACAACTATAAAACAATTTTATTTCCATATTAAAATTTTTTAATCTCTTTGTTGTTTTCGACTGTACTTACTAACTAAACTAGATCGTGACCGCATTATGGCAGCTCGTTACTCTGACATTGACTCGTAGGAGACCAGATTGCGAAGATATTATTTACTTATTTACATTATGCTATAATTGTATAGATATGAAAGTTGAACAAAGTTACCGCTTATCTCAAAATATGTCTGTTCATTTTATTTCTAAATGGTAAATGGTTTTTAATGGTAAACATAAATTAATGCAAATTCTTAAATAACACACTAAAATAAAAGAGACACTGCGGTTTCACCTGTGTTTTTTTTTTTTATTGCCCTTGTAGGCAGACGAGCATACGGCCCACCTGATGGTGAGTGGTTACCGTCGCCCATGGACTTCAGCAATGCCAGGGGCAGAGCCAAGCCGCTGCCTACCGCTTAATACTCTCCACAAGCCTCGTTTGAAAAAGGACATGTCATAGCGCTCGGGAAACACCGTGGAGGGGAGTTCATTCCATAGCCGGATGGTACGTGGCAAAAAGATCTCTGGAAGCGCACTGTGGATGGCCGCAGTGGCTCCAGGTAGTATGGATGAACTCTACTCCGGTGGCGGGCGGTGCGATGGTAAAAACGAGATGCCGATATCATTTTGAACAATTCCTCAGAGCACTCCCCATGGAACATACAGTACAAAATACAGAGGGGACCGAAGTCCCTCCGCAGACCCAGAGGTTCACCTGTGTTCAATTCGACATCCAGTAAATGTAACACGTATCATTTTCCGGCAATAAGAGTTGTGTCACTTGTATGGCCCATAATCTAAATGTAGACCCGTTCATGGCATTTATCATGATAAACGTATCCTAGGTATTCATCCAGTTCACACAGAATCTTTTATGGATTTTCATGCAAATCCCTTTAGCGAGTTGTGCTTGATTGTCTATACTTATTTATTTATTATTTAAAAAAAAAACTGCTATTATAAAGAGGAAAGATTTGTTTGTTTGTTTGTATTGAATAAATAACTGAAACTCCAAATAACATTACCCAAGGTGTAAAAAAATTACATAAAATATTCTTTACATCGCGTGCCCTGCGAAAACTATTGATGACGAATAAAATAATGTACTACGACTTTGTAGAACACATTATTATTTACAAAAAGTATCACGATAGCATATGTCTAACTATTATAGTTATCACGCAATAAGTGTCATTTTATTTAAAAAAATTAAACAACGTCAAATATCGTTGAAATTTTTGTTAAAGACCCGAGCGGAGCCGGAGCGGGCAGCTAGTATAACATAAATCCAAGCGTTCATAATATCACTAGTAAGACACATAATTTATATATAAAAAATCTCTCCTACAAACTAGTTTATATTATTTTAAATTATAGTCTAAAATATCCATATCGAAATCCAAATTGTTATCAGATTTCAAATTTTAAATTGAAATTGGTTATAATGTAATATAAACATCTATATAATCATTTAGGGTTCAGATTTCTTTAATGAATTGTTCATAAATAAGTAGTCTAGCGGTTGAGAGAGTCTTTATTACAAGAGCTAATAATAATAAGTAAATTCAAAAGATAATTTATAAAAGCGATTTTAAAAAACCAAAAGCTGATCTGACTTTTTAATCTCGAGATATGTCTCATTAATTATTTATAAAAATGATTTCACAAAGGAATCCACTGCAGGAAAGATATTAAATAATTAAAGTAGAAGATTTGAATTTGCGAAAGCAGGCTTTTACGTTATATTTAGGTCAGAGAATCTTAATAATAATTGTGTAGTTTTTTTTTTGCATT